ACAAGGAGCCTTCACTTCACATGTGCCTCCTGGCGAAACGCTGCCCACGCTGCCGTGCTCCGACCTCTCTCCCTTGGCCTTTGCAGGCTGCAGGTGATCGCGGATAAGCTGGTGGAGCGCTTCGTGGCCTCCGGCCTGATGCTGAAGGAGTGGGATCGGGTGAAACTGCACGCTACTGTCATGAACACTCTCTTCAGGAAAGACCCCAGTGGTGGGTACCCCCGCTCCCTTCCACTAAATGCACTCAAAGCAGCAGACTGGACAGGAGGAGCTTTGCTCAGCAGCTCTTGGTTTTTATGTGTTTTTTTTTTTTCCTCTCTGTTTAAAAAGGTTAAAAACCCTCTGCCCAAAGGCTGTCTGCTGCAGCAGGCTGCAGCATCCCTGCACTCGTGTTCCCTGCAGAGGCCAAGCGGGAATGTTTCTGCATGAGGAATTGGGCAAAGGTGGCAGCAAGAGCGAGGAGGGATGGAGGATGGTGCATGTAGTTCTCCCGACTGAAGCTCCCTGTGTTGGTGGCTTTTCTCTTTACAGCTGAAGAGCGGAGCAGTTCGGCAGCTGGTAAATCACCTTGCAAGGAACGGGAGTCCTTTAATGGCCGGAACATCCTCAAGGTCAGTATGAAATAATTAGGGTATTGGAGGCAGCTCTGGGTGCAGTGCAGCTGGAAACACCTCTTTAAAACTGCCTTTGTCCTAAGCTTATGGGTGCCACCGGAGGGGATCCCTTTGGAAGGTAGACAATGTGGATCCTTCAAAATTAGGAGCATTCCGATGTGGAACAGGAGCCCTCCTAAAGCTGGCGAGGCTTGGAGCAGGCGGCAGCACCAATGCAGTGGGTACTGGTGTTGTTGGTTGCTTCCCTCCTGGTTTACCCTGGAGACTCAGGTCCTGTTGTTCCTCAGCCCAGCCAAAAGGAGAGCTTGGTTCCTCTTGCTCTACTTGCTCCTGTGTGTATTTATGTCACTAAAACCTGCAACTTCACGAGTTTTTTTTGTTTGTTTGTTTTTGTTTTGTTTTTAAACCTTTGCTGTTGATTTTTGCTTGGTTTTGCTCCAGAGGAGTAGCAGGTAGGCAGGATCTGAGGGCACATGGCAATGTCAGACCGAGGCTCAGAGAGAAAATAAAAACGCAGGAAGCAAACGAAGCTGGAAGAGAACACAGATTCTGGAAGATGTGTGCGAGAAAGCCAGAGTGTCTGCAGGCACTCAGCTTTCTAGGCATACATCCACATTTCACTTAGCTCTTTGCTCTTTCCATGTTTGTTAAATTTGTCCTCAGACTGGAGAGAGGGAGAAAATCAAACAGCCCTTCATCCTTAATGCTCGTCATCCGCAAGCAGGAGCGCTTCCAACGGCACAAGGATACTCCCTCTGCCGGTCGTGCCAGCGGAGCCGGCGCTTGGAAGCTGTAAAATGCAACTGCTCTGTCTCCACGGGCTCTTTCTTATTCCGCTGCTCCCTGAAACACGAGCCGATGCATTTTGAACACTCCTAATTGATTTCTTTTTTTGCACTGATGGAGCCCAAAGAGCCCAAAGGCTGTTTGGGCTGCTGGTAATAGCTTTGAAGCGCGGCCTGCTGCCAGAAATATCATCCTGCCTCCCCCCCTCCACTACGCTTCCTAACCTGCTCGCTTCATATTTCCCCTTGGTCTCCCACGTGCCTGCAGCAGAGCACCCGTTGGCATTAATTAATTACATGAGTCATAAATAGCTCCGGGCTCCTGAGCGGAGGAGCCCAACTGGCACATTCCAGCATGACCTTGCGAGGAGGCGCTGCTTCTCCTTGCCCCCTTTGCTGGATGGTATTGACCTCCCCCTGCTCCAGGAGGTTGCCCTCTCATGAAGCGGTTCTGTTATGTTCCGCAGGAGGAGCCGAGCGGTGCCGGAACGTTAGTGCCTGCAATTAGGCAGCTTTGCATTCCCTGCGCACAGCTTCGGCTACTGCTAGGAGCCCCTTGTGTCCCAAAACTGGAGGTTTAGCCACTTTCGTTGCCGTTGTCTGACTAAGACCATGGCAAATTTAAGGCAAAGTGGTCAACCCGCAATTCCAGCGTGTGGCACCGGAGTGCCACGGCTGTGCCACAGACGTGCTGGCAGCTCGTGTTTGCCGATGGCACCCGAGACTCCAGCTGGTATTTTGCTCTCAGCAGAACTCGTCAGGATTTTATTTAATAATCCTTTGTCCTGCCCGTTCCGTGGAGTTAAACACACCCTCCCGTTTCTGCTGCCGGGCGGTTACGCAGGCCGCTCCCCTTCCCAGTGCTCAGAAAATAGATCCTGTAGGATGAGTTGTGTTTGGGAGCTGGAATTCCTTCCATCCTGGGGCCCATCCATGAAAAAGGTGCCTCCCATGGAAGTACCAGATACCTTAACTTCATGGTTCCCTTTGGAGAGAAGAGCTGCTGGTGGCAGCTCCTTGTCCTGGTATCTGGATCCATGGAGCCTCCTCTCCCAAATGCCGGAATACGGACTGCCAGGAGCCCCGAGTCTTCTTTTGGGAAAGGCAACGGCTGGGTATTAATTTCCTTAAATGAGCTGTCCTGCGAAGCAGAGCAGGAGGCAGCAGAGCCTGAAAGGCACTGCTTTTTCTTTTTTTTTATTCTCATCAAAAAAGATGTGCAAAACTCCAGTAACCTCCAAATGTCCCACTCGTATTTGTCTCTTAGTTTGCAGAGTGCCTTTCACCATAGCAACCAGGGCTTGATTTCTGCCGGCACACAAATTTCCATGGAGCTACAGGGGGATCCAAAGCCCCGAGCGTTGACTCGCATGGGCTGCCGCTTGGATCCGCGTCTGAGAAAGATGTGATCCCATCGGGGTCCTTGTGCGGCCCTGGAGCGGAGGGAAGCAGGCGGAGCTTCCCAGGCACCTTCCCGTGTAGGCGCAGGGCTGCGGGTTACAAGTTAATGATGCCTTTTCCTTCCTTGAGTCTGATTTACCATGGAGAAGCAGAGGGCACTCCATCAAGTGAGTTTGGTCCCCTGGTGGGAGTTAGGTCCTTGACTTTTGGAATTGCTCCTTGCCTCTAACAGGTTCGTTTTCATTTATAATATCAGAGAAGAAAAAAAAAAGAAAAAACCCAGCCCCCAGCCTCTTACTTATTCTTCAGGCGGCGAGGCCATAAATCCTTCAATGTGTTTGGATTTACGGAATTACTGTGCTTTTGCTGAGCCCTACATCCCACTCCAATCAAATGACACGGCTTTTAGCAGCCCCGCGGATCCCTGGCTTTCTCCTTCCCCCGCCTTCCTTGCTAAATGCTCCCTCTTGCTGTGCGTTTTCCTGGGAGAGGGGGACCAAGGTGCTTCCACCGGCTGCGTTTATAGGCGGTTCTGGAGCCCATCCTCCAGAACCGGAGGATTCTTCGGTGGCTGGGGAGATATAAATATCTTTCTCAGCTCTGCTTGGCTTCTCCCCAAGACAGACAGCGTCGAAGGTCCAAAGCAGGCGCCTGGCTTCCCCAGATCCGTTTCCAAGCCCCAGGGGCTCCAATACCCCTTCTTGGATGGCAGGGGGGACTCCTGATGTTTCAGGGATGCAGCTGACGCCTGCGGCAGCTCTGGGCCTTTACGGCGCCTCGACTGCGATCGCTCCGTGTCACGCCTGCCCTCACTGCAAGCCCCCAGGAGCCAGGAAGCATCCGTGAAAAGTTGTCTGGCAGCGAAAGCAGGAGGAATGGCTGTGCTTGTCCCTTAAATCTCCTGGCATGTTTTCTCGCAGAAAGTACAGCTGCGTTACCAAAAATCAATAGTCCTAGCTGTGTTCTCCCCGGGAACTGTGCGCGCTCGGGCGCGCGGGAGGTGGCAGAGCTTGAAGAAGCCCAGGCAATACAGAGTATGAGGGTTGTGCTTTCCTCGTGGCCGTGATCCGGACTGTGCCTTCTGGCGGCTTCCTTCCTCATCCCGGGGCAATGCGTTTTGCAGGAAAGCTGGAAAAGCCGGAGATCCAGCCACCTTGGCGACATCTTCCTCCTTTCTCCGATGAGCCCTTCCCATCATTCCTTATTAATGAGGCATTTTAGCCTAAGTCCTCTCACCGCAAACCACGCGGGCTTTGGGAGACGTAATTCGTCTTTGATTGTATCAATCTTTAGTTGCGTAAAATGGAGTTTGTGCGGCTGGAGTCATTCCTCTTCCTCTCTTTTCTCCCTTTCCCTGTCAGAGCATCCTCCGCGCTTTGGAGCAGGGGAATTATCACGATGTAATCTGACAGAGCAGCCTCATGACAAGGACAGGGGCATCTTTTTTTTAGGAATAGCTTCATTAGAGGCACAACAAGTCTTTGAGGCTGCTTACAGGGCTGTTTCTCGGAGGAGGTGTGCGAAGCAGCCGCGAGTTGTGTTTCTCCAGGCGTTCCTGGGACATTTTCTCCCTCTTTTTCAGCTCTTTGAGAACTTCTCCTTCGGCGAGGTGCAGCTGGATTCGGTCCGTCTTTCTCAGCGCTTCTCCTCGGACCCCTCAGGCTACTATGCGACGTCCGGGCAGCTGACGTTTTCCTGAAGCGGGAACGCTCCCATCCGTGCCCGGAGTCACAGGGATCCATCGAGGAAGTACATTTTAACAGGACGGGTGTTTTGGCCAGAAGCCCCAATGAGGGGCTCATTTGAGAGCTCCCCACGAGGATGCCTCATTTCACACGTGTTGCACCCAGGACCAGGCTTTGCCCTTTCTCCATGGTGTTTTTTTCCCCTGGGAAAGCTGGTGCAGGCGGCTTTCGGGGCATCACCACTGCTCCAAAGTGGCTTTATTCCCAAAGGGGATTTCACAGTGTCAGGGCCAGGCGTTGCTTGGATCTCCAGCAGTGTGATGGTGATCTCCAAACAAATTAATTCCCTTCAAAAGCGGCGTGTTTATCTCCTGTTGCGTTGATAGCTGCTGTAATTAAACTTCCAGCGCATAACTGTGTTAATAAGAAAGCGTTTATGGCAAGAGCCGCTTCCAGGGACTGTTTCAGAGCGTGTCAAAAAAAGCAGCCGTGCCTGGTAGGAGGTTTCTGCATTTAGAAGAGCCGAGTTCTTTGATCCAACAAGAGCGGCCCCAGCCTTGGGCGAGCGCTGGGAGAAGCCCGGGATCCTGGGGCTTCGTTCAGCCTCCAACACATGCTCCAGCCTGGAGCAGTGCTTGGAAAATCTCAGCCGCCCAAAGGAGAGGCTTCCCTTGGCCGCAGAATTCAGGGTCCTCACGTGTGCCCCCCTCGCCTGTGTCCTGCTTTAGCCTTTGCTTCAGCAGGCTGCTGTGTGTGTACTTAAACTTGCCCAGCCCTTAATCCCCTTGTATAACGCGCGCCGCAGAGCCCGCGGAGTCCTCCCAGCACCCGAGCGCAGCAGCTGCGGGTGCTGCGTGAAACCCTGGCTCCTGTGTGCAGCGGGGTGAAAAGGCAGCAATTTGGTGCGGTCCTGCCCCCGTGCCCAGAGCTCCCTGTGCCCCCTGTGTCCCCCGTGGGCTG